AGTTCATGATCTCACAGTTCGTGAGTTCGAGCCCCGCGTCGGGCTCTGTGCTGACAGCTCAGAACTTGGAGCCTGCTTCGGAATTCTGTGTCTCCCTCTCTCTCTGCCCCTCCCCTGCTCACACTCTGTCTCTCTCTCTCAAAAATAAATACACATAAAAAAATTAAAAAACAAAACAACAACAACAACAACAACAAAAACCAACTGGTAGATGTAACTTATACCGAGGAAGCCTTTTCCACACGTTTGGAGGTCTCTAGGGTTCCCTACAATTAATCTTCTTTGTTTTACTCCATTGAAGATTGTTTTGCTTCTATGAAAAGAATTGATCTGAGATGGACGAACATATACACCACAGACAGAAAACGTTTGGGGACCATCGACTCTACCTTCACCGCCATGATCTGCCCGCTGGGCACGTGTCGCATCTTCTCCACGACCCCGTACGCACCTCGCCCCAGTTCCATTATTGGTTCCAGATCATCTGCCTTCACCTCAAAGTTCTGCAAGAGAGAAAAGGAATACTGAAGTAGTAAACAAAGAAATAAAGGACATAGTCTCTTTCGTCCTCTCTCTGGCTTCTCCCAACATTCTATGGGTTATTTCTGGCCCACAGGCTTCTTGTCTAGAAGCTTATCCAGGCAGCCATTGAATGCAAGATGCACCATGGGAAGTTTAGACTCTCAACGGTGTGCCACCTGCTGGTCACGGGCAATACAGAGATCCAGCTCCAACTAGCTTCCAAACTGCTCAGTTTGCGGGTCTCCTGGTGGCTCAGTCGGTCGAGCGTCTGACTTCGGCTCGGGTCATGGTCTTGCGGTCTGTGAGTTCGAGCCCTGTGTCGGACTCTGTGCTGACAGCTCGGATCCTGGAGCCTGCTGCGGATTCTGTTGTCTCCCTCTCTCTCTGCCCCTCCCCCCGCTCATGCTCTGTCTCTCTCTCTCTGTCAAAAATAAATAAACATCAAAAAAATTTTTTCTTCAACTTGCTCGGTTTGAGCTGTCTACATTGTGCTTCCTTAGCTCTGCCCCCTTCATCACATGTGTCACCCATTTGCTGACTGATGGCAATGAGATCTACACTTGGACTTTAAGGAATGTGTCCCAAAACAAATCATCTACTCTCCTCAAACACCTTCCATCAGGACCTCACCAGCCTGATTTCAATAAGGCATTCAAAATAGCAAGAGCACATATCACATCTGCTTAAACTCAAACTTTTTGACCCATCTCCTTATGGCATGTAATGGAAAATAAATTTTTCAATGGCCAGTCAGAAAGCACATATGGAAAACGGTCAAGATATTAACTGGCACACATGATTTTTCTTACCTGATTTCCAATAGAAATGCAAGCTTTGGAGTCTAAGTCTCGAGGTGGCCTAAGAAAGAAAATGGGTAAAGAAAAAACATGAAATATTTAGTCAAATATGCCCTTCTCAAATCACATACAACTGGAGAGATGTTTTTTTTTTCTGCAGGATTAAAGTGGAAGTTCATCAGTAAAATTAGGCAGCACAAAAGTGTTAGTAGTGTGGGATTTGGAATAAAATAAAATTTGGGTTTAAATGACTTAATCTCTTTGAGCTTCTATTTCTTCTTTAACACGGCCAGCATATAGTAAATATCTGATAAATATGATCTAGGTGTAAATAGTTATACAAATAACCATACTATTCTAGTAAGTCCCAAACTTTTTCTTTCATCCAAAAACACCAATGTGCCCAATTACTCCACCACATTTTCCCACAATTGTTTTCTTTTAAGTTTATTTATTTATTTTGAGAGAGAGAGAGAGAGAGAGAGAGGGAACACGCACAAGAGCAGAGGAGGGGTAGAGAGAGAGGGGGACAGAGGATCCAAAGTGGGCTCTATGCTGACAGCAGAGAGCTCAATGTGGCGCTCAATCTCATGAACCATTAGATCGTGACCTGAGCCAAAGTTCGACACTTAACCAACTGAGGCACGCGGGCGCCCCTCCCACAATTGTTTCAAAAAAAACAATAATTAGCCTATGGTTATGTTAACTCACCATAATAATTCCAAATCTGTCTAGTCCCCACATTTACAGATGGAAAAAACATCCAGAGAGGCTGATGTGACTTGTCCAAGGTCACAAGTAACCCAGGTCTCCTGGTTTGTGATCAGAATACTTTCTGTTCTATCAGGCTGTCTAATCTGGTTGTGATATTTCTTCCATACATAGTGCACGTGCAACCCAGGGGTCATCTCAGAAGCCAGAGGTTGGCTGATTTTGTGTCTCCATAGAGAAAGCACACAGTCCCCTCATGGGTATGTATTTCTACTACGTCAATACTACCTGGATTGATATCAATCTGCTCAAGAGAAGGATGTTTGGCCTTGGCCTTGCCACTAATTAGGAGCCTTGAAAAGCATTTTCTTGAAATAAATGCACCCAAAGCATCACTAGAAAAAGACAAAAGGATCCCAGTGCTGGCAGAATCAAGGATGACCAAAGAGAACCAGGTCCTCCTAAGGGGACATTCCATGCCAGAACTCTGCCTCTACAAAAATGCAAGAAAAAATAGAAGACAGGGAAGATGAAAGGAAAGGAGAGAAGAATCCTCGTGTGTTATAATCCTACCCCATGTGCTGAAACTAAATTTAAAAAACAAGAAAAAGTAAGAATATGAACATAGGTATAAACATAAATTTAAAGTTTTAATGGCAAGCCCTCCCTCACCTCAAAATCCCTTTGAAATACATAGAATACCTAAAATAAAGTTTTTCTATACTAACTTAAAACCAGGGAGTAGGAGGAAGAGATTGAGAGGAAAACACACACATCCACACGCACACACACGTACACGTACACACCAGTGATGTTTTTATAGATCTTGTGTTTATGAGCAGGGAAATTTTCTTCAGAAATACGTTCCAGAGGATTAAGTCTCTAGAAATCTGATTTCTCATTCTTAAAATTTCCAAAACTGTTTCTTTCACTGTCAATAGTTTGTACTAATTACAATGCAATTCTGAAATAAAGACAGATATTACTTGAAACATGACTAACATAAATAGTAAAAAAACCTTTTGCAATTGTTCAGGACCCTTCCTTTTAAAAAGTATGAAGCAACTGGGGCACCTGTGTGGCTCAGTGGTTAAGTGTCCGACTTCAGTTCAGGTCATGATCTCGCAGTTTGTGAGTTCGAGCCCTGAGTCAGGTTCTGAGCTGACAGCTCAGAGCCTGGAGCCTGCTTTGGATTCTGTGTCTCCCTTTCTCTCTGCCCCTCTCCCACTTGATTTCTCTCTCTCTCTCTCTCTCTCTCTCTCTCTCAAAAATAAACACTAAAAAAAAGGTATGAAGCAACAGAAATGTCACTGGTTATTTGGGGCTACCTCCATTTTCTTGCATGAGGGCATTGGGTAAGACCCCTTCCAGCTCTGGTGTCCCAGTATCCATGTAGAGTTTTGCAAATTACAGCCCGTGGCCCAGCTAATAATTTTTTTCAAGTTTAAAAAGTTGTGGAAAAACAATTTACAAAGAATATCCAACAGAGGCCACTGTGGCCTGAGTAGCCTGAAATATTTACTATCTGGACTTTCACAAAAAAAAAAAAAAAAAAAAAAAAAAAAAAAGTGTACAGACTCAAGTGTTATACTAACCTTGCATTATACCTGTACCTAATAGGAGGAGGTCATGCCATTTTCCAGAATGAGAGAAAAATGGAACCCAGAAAAGCTCAGTGGTTTGCTAAAGCCATACAGCCTAACAGAGCTGAAAATAAAACCCATGTCACTTGAATCTGTCTTGACCTAAAGAATCAGGTGAAGTGCTTTACCTACATCTCATTTAATGCCTTAAACACACACACACACACACACACACACTCCTATGAGTATCATTACTCCAATGGTCCAGATGAGAAACCATCTGGTTCAGAGTTTAACTAACTTGCTCCCAAGTGGTAAAGCCATGATTTCAATCCAAGTCTAATTGAATCCAAGGAACTTACTCTCAACACCCAGGTCCCCTCTAATGAAAATGATCAATCCACCCAAGCCTGAGGCCTTTGGACTCATCAAGTCTGCCAAAAGCATCAAATGATGCAGCCAAGACTGACAGCTCGTATTAGATTTAGTTGACACTGTGTTCTGTCCAGACTGGGCATATTATTAGTCTGCCTGGGGCACTGAGTCTCTGCAGGAGGTTAAACTGTGGGTGTATGTTCTCCGTTGCTTATTCAATATTTTAGACCTGTGGGGACAGAAACAAGCTTATTACAAAATTCCCTCCCTGGAAGGCCAAAGGTACTCCAACGGTCACCTAGCATTAGCTTTTATAGGAACAACAAGCTTCGGCATATTATAGTGATTATTTATTTGTAATTCTAAGTAATAAGTAATCAGTTTACTGGGTGTTATGACAATTATTATTCGTCTATTGGGCCAGAGACTATGCTAGACCCTTTATTATTTTTTTAATGTTTATTTATTTATTTTGAAGGGGGGATACAGAGAGAATCCCAAACAGGATCTGCACCCACAGCACAGAGCCCAATGTGGGGCTCAATCCCATGAACCACAAGATGAGGACTGACCTGAGCTGAAATCAAGAGTCGGACACTTAATCGAATGAGCCACCCAGGCACCCATGTGCTAGACCCTTTATATAAAATATCTTCTTTAATTTACACAACTCTTAGAGGGACTATTATCTCTACCTTAATGGGAAGAGTTGACATCAAAACAGACTAAATAACTTCCCGTCATTCAAAGACATGGTGAAATTAGAACCCAGAGCCTCACTCTAACGTCTTCTCAACTGCGAGAGTAAAAGATCCTGCCTCTTGTTTCACTAGCCACAGACTATTTGGCCACACTCTCTACCAGTCCGACATGTGGCTAAGAGCATATACTTGAAAGTCAGAGAATCCTGACTTTGCACACCAGCTCTTCCACTTAATAATAACTATTAATAATTATTAAGTGGGGACACCTGGGTGGCTCAGTCGGTTAGGCATCTGACTTGATTTCGGCTCAGGTCATGGTCTCATGGGTTTGTGGGTTCAAGCCCCGCATCGGGCTCTGTACAGACAGCATGGAGCCTGCTTGGGATTTTCTCTCTCCCTCTCTCTGCCCCTCCTCGGCTCACTCTCTCTCTCTCTACCTCTCAAAATAAATAAAAACATTTTAAATAATTATTTAGTGGATTAGTAATAATAACAGCAACAACACTTGGAGCAGCCTTCTTTGAGAAATCCCAAGGGAAAAGGCTAGACACTTAATAGAGGTTATGATGCCTAAACCTCACAGCAATCACATCATTATTTATTCTCATCTTTCAGAAGAAGAAACTAAGGCTCCGTCGAGTTAGATAACTTGCCTAAGGTATTCATTCAACTAGTGAAATGTAGATCTCAAAGACGAACACGGACCAACTTACTCGAGCCTGAACTCTTACCCATGAAGTGATACTCAACTGTTTTGAGCAAGGCACCTGACCTCGTACAGGTCTGTTTT